AGAATAGAATAGAATAGAATAGAATAGAATAGAATAGAATAGAATAGGTTTGGCCAATGTGATTAGACACCCAAGGAATTTGTCTCCAATGCAGAAGCTTTCAGTGTACATGCAAAGCAACAGAGTAATAAAAATCATAGTACTACCAATAAGAGGGGGTAGTGAAGAAGGTAAGAAGGATAATAATAATACAACCATACAAAAATGGGTAAATATACATAGGCATTAAACAGTATAGTCCTCGACTTAGAACAATTTGTTCATGACTGTTCAATTACAACACTATTTTAAAAAGTGTCTGACAATCATTTTTCCCACATGACCACTGTATCATTCCTATAGTCATATTATCAAAATTGAGATGCTTGGCAATTGCTTCATGTTTATGACAGTTGCGCTGTCCTGGGGTCGTGTGATCATCTTTCCAATCTTCTGACAAGCAGTCATTGGAAAAGCCAGATTAACGTAACCATTTACTTAACAACTCCTTGCTTAGCAACAGAAATTTTGGGCTCAGTTGGACTGTTTGTATAAGATATATAATAAATATCTAAACTATTTTATTTAAATACAGTATTGGAAACGGAAAAATTGAATCTGGGCCCAGGCTAGTCAGGGCTTTGTTTTAGAAGCTGCTATTTTTGCTATGTGACACAAAAAGACACCATGTTCAGACATGATTTTTAGATATGCCCAAATTAGACCTCTAATATTAATAAATGCCTAATACGTAGAAAGAAAGAGGTTTAGAAAAGGAGGGTACTGAGTCCTTATTTACTTACAGTTCTTACTTTAGGCCTTAAGTTTAGCTTCACAATAAATTGTTTAAAAAATTGAGAATGGCTAAAAGACAACAACTATGGAATATGGAAGAAGAATTAGGGACTGTAGCAACAACAGAGTATCTGTAAAACTACAAAATACTCCAAACAAAACAGGAAAAGCTGGATGAAAATCTACCAAACCAATAAAAGAAAGACAGAAATGTTTGCAGTTGAAGGTAATTGTGGAGTAGCCAACAGAGTTATACTAGATAGATCAGACCAAAGTACAGTATAACCTCGCATGCTCCTTCCACAATGGCAAACTAAATGCCAAAGGAGAACCAATACGCATTGCAGTATAATCTCCAAGTCATTCCCAGCAATTGCATTAAGAGAACTATTGCCTTCAACATAGAGCCATCACTATCTACTGATAGTTTTGTCTTATATGAATTGTCTCAATTAGTGATCACCCCTTCAAATTAAGTATTCCCTGTGACATTCCATGGAAGTGGAAGTTGGACTTCATAGAAGCAGGACAGGAAGAGCACTGACATTTTTGAACTTTGGAGTAGCCTCCTAAGAATACCATGGATAGCCAAGAAAACAAAATGGATCATTTATTGAAATCAACCTAAATTCTCATTTAAAAGAATAAATGATCAGGCTCAAGTAATCCTATTTCAGACATATGATGTGAAGACCAAGCTCCCTGGAGAAGGCCCTAATCCTAGGACAGGTGGAAGGAAAGAGAAGATAGATTGACTCAATTATAGTAGCAATGGATCCAGAACTGCTGGCAATGGGTAAAGTCCTGAAGGACCAGGTTAGAGACAGATTGACATGGAGAAAATCTATGTGATCTCTAAAATTTGATGATGACTTGATGGCACATAATCAAACACTAAACGGTTTGGCTATAAACTATGTCTTTTATCTATGTGCTATGCCCACAGGTTAATATAATTAACCTTAAAACGTGCTTCCTTTTATCTGTTCCGGATATACCAGCACTTAATGAATTAACTATAGAATCAGTGAATTATTAATTTTGAAATGGAAAAGTTTCTCTATACTCCAACTTTGCACTGTTTTATCTACCTCTATCATTTTTATATTTTCCGATTTTCTAAGTTAAAGAATATCAAGCATTTGTATCTCAAAAAGAAGTTGCTTCAGTCTCCTAATTATTCTGTTGCCCTTCAGCTTTACAATACCAAATGTGGTCAAGCTGTAAGTTTGATTAGCTGTAAAATTTATATTTTTTTCTTTTTTGTAATGTCAGCTTGGAACGTGTGCTTTTTGTACCAATCAAGAATTGATTTTCTGGTGAAATCCCTTTTCTATACAGTTGCCACCAGCTGAAATCCTATTTGTGTGTGTGTTAGTACAGATCTGTCTCAGCATGCATCACTTTATACTGAATTTGCTAATAATGGATTGCACTTGTTATTATAATAGTCATTCCACCGCTTTGGTGAAATTCTTCAGACATTTTGTAGTACTTAAACTTTCTGAGAATTTTGTATCATTTTTGAAAACTGAGAAAACCGGAGCTGCAAAAGAAATGATCTTCCTGCATATATTTTCATAATACAGTTTACTGTAAAAATTTCAGCCCCTCCTCCCACCCCAATTTAAACTTCCAAAATGTAAGATAATGGCCCACCTCAAAGAAATGAGGAATTTTAACAGTCAAGCAAAGAGGCAAATAAATAAAAATAAAAAAACAAGTGAGGGGGGAATTAGTGGGAAATTTGGCACAGCATTTGGTCCAGCTTCCTTCATGTCAATCGAAGTTCTTGATAACAGACATGAAGCAATTAAAACAGCAGGAATCCCGTGAATTGATAAAGTCAGGATTCAATATGAAAGGCAATAAAGAACCAACAGGATTCGGGGCCTCGACACATATGCAAGGAAGAAGAAAGACTACCAGGGCAGCGACGTACCTCAGTCCGGCGATACAGGGTGGCCTCGCCGAACGCCCCCCGACCCAAAACCCGTATAGGAGCATAATGCAATTCCTCCTGCTCGCCCCCCAAGCCCGGAGCAGGACGGGGGCTGCTCCTACTGGACGAGTCGCTTCCAAAGTCAGAGTTAATGGAGTTGTAATGCCTCTCATATTGGTTCAGAGACATAGCTGCCCCGGGACCGCTTCCCGAGGATCCAAGAAAGGGGAGCGCAGGCGGCCCGTCTGCGACCAAGGCTCGCGGCCCCTCACGCGATGATGGTGAGCGGCTTCCTGCTATTATTGCCGCCGCCACCAAAACACCAGAGCTCCCTCTCTGCGCAAGCGCGCACCCCTTTCCCGGCCTCAAGCGGCGAAAGCCAGTGGAGTTCACCGGACTGCCCCTTTTGCCGGCTTCTCTGAAGCTCCCGCAGCCCCCGAGCGCGGCAGGTCGGCTACCGCTTTCGCTGACCCGGAACCATTTCTGTCTCAGAGATGGAAGGTTTCTTCACGGAGACTTCGCAGCGCGATGGAGAAATAGGGCAGCCGGAAAAGCGCGAAGGGAGCGGGGTGGAGAAGCGAGGGAACGCCTTGGGAAAACGAGCCGGGCACCTTCCGAGAATTTTCTCTTATAGTCAAAGAGTCGAGTGGGGCGCCGCTGACTAGAACGAGGAGGGCTCTGGAGCTCGTTAGACGTCTCCAAAGATACGCTTATGGAGGGCAGACGAGTAGCAGCGGGCGGCGAGCAAGGCAGCGGCCGCGACTGGGCCCCGCCGAACTAAAGCAAGCAACTCAAGCAAGAAGTAGAACCTGAGATGGGTGGCATGAACGGGAGGGAGGCGACGAAAAGGCTTGGGAGCGCTCCGCTCCGAAATTGGCAGCTCTCGTGTTCACAATTTTAACTTCCAACTGCCCATTTTTAGGATTAAGAATTAGGATTAGGAAAAATTAAAATTCATATTCTGGAATTTGAAGTATATTCCTTAATGAAATTGCTACTTTTGGGTACATTAGATTTACAGTTTTTATATGTTTACATATTCAATGTGATTGGATATGTTGCGAATTTATTTTCTTAAATATCTGATGTATTTTAAAATAAATCTACATTTCACTAAAACAGTTTATACTGTTTAAAATATACATTTAATGCTGCTGGTCTACATTACAAATGATCAGCGGAAAAATCAACATACAAAAATATGACTTATTTGGTAAGACTTCAACACCTTGCTGGCTGGGAAATTCTGGGAATTGAAGTACACACTTCAAAGTTGCCAAGGCTAAAAAATACATCACTATATAGATGTCTGAAGGGACTGCATTAAGTTCTCTTTTGTATTATTTGCTGCTTCCCTTTTCGTCCTTTACAAATCTTAAGTGAATGTTGGAATTTGTAATATATCCTACTTAAGAATTTCTTCAAATGAAACTTTTTAATCAACTGTTCCTGCATGAAAGTGTATATAATTTGTTTGTAGTAGTATACAAATTTCTTTGTACTACAGGTAGTCCTCAACTTACAAGTTTATTTAGTGACCTTTTGAAGAAACAACAGCACTGAAAGAAGTTACAACACGTACAAGCATTGCAACATCCCCAGGGTCACATAATCAAAATTTGGATGATTGGCAACTGGCATGTATTTATGACAGCTGTCTTGTCCTGTGATCCACCTTTTGTGATCTTCTGATAAAGTCAGTGGGGAAGCCAGAGTCAATTACCAACTGTACTAACTCAAAAACTGCAGTAATTCACGTAACAACTGTGGCAAGAAAGGTCATAAAATGGGGCAAAATTCACTCAACAAATGTTTTGCTTAGCAATAGAAATGTTGGGCTTAATACAGGTTGAGGACTACCTGTATTAAGAGTTATAAATAGGGAGACTGAAAAATTGATAGAACACATTTTAGTGAAACAAATATAAACCATACTTAAACATACAATAGTGGATCCATACATAAATCAAATTCTGCCTTGATTACTTTCTTTCCCTGAAGAAACACTCACATGGAACAAGTATTGATTCAAACAAAGTCAAACACAGTATAATTGTAATAGCTTACATACTGCATTTTACATTGCAGCCTTGTATTTTTAGCTGAATTTACTTTCCCAGATGGACATAGAAATACTGGCCTTCACCACTTATGTTACCTTTAACAATAACATACTTTCTGCACATGTATACAATTTTCAACAAATATCTCCCAACACCCTTAAAAGCAGCTGTCAAATACTTTTAGATTTGAAAGGGTAATTAAACAATTATATGTATCTAGGACATCAACTACAGCTTGTACAAGGTTTTGATTTAGTTGTAGTTTGTACAGATTTAATTTACTTGTAAACTATTCTCTGTTCATGAGGCCACTATAGATGAGATCGAAAATGTACTAAATGTAAAGTGAAAAAAAATCTATTCAATTCAGACTTTGGAATGAAATAATGAAATGAAATGTACGTTTGATCAATTTACAGACACACTATTTTGAAGAATAATTTCTTCAAAAATATTTTATTGAAAATGTCAAAAATCCCCAGATTTTAGATAAAACTAAACTTGTTTACTTGCATGTATACCATAGCAGTTAGGAGCAAAAACACTAATGACATAAAGGCAACACTATTGGATGTATCATGTCACTTACTAAAAGATGCTAATTCCTGATTTGCTAAAATATGATAAAATGAGTAAAAGGATACCACTTCCTAAACAATTTATTTTTCTTTAAATGTTAGATTTCCTACTAAAATCCAAATAAAATCCATGTGAGGTAAGAATTTCATATTTTAAAGCATATTTTCCATCACATCTCAGGTTTAATTTCTTCCAAATATTTACAGAGATTGCCAGAGAAGTGTCAAATAATCCATGAAAGCTTCTAAGCAAAACACATAACAGAAACAAATCCAAACAAATTATGACAAATACTAAGACCTTTACATAGCTGTGTGATATCCTACATTTGATATAGTTTTCTTGAGAGGACTTATTTTTTCATTATATTTTGAATACTTAAAAGACAAGTTACTTTTTGCTTTGTTGTCAAGAAAGTAGGATTTTGAGACAGGAGTGGCAAACTGGATTTACAACAGGCATCTATCTTTCTGTTAATGGAATCGATCTATTTGACAATTATTATGGAGAAGCCTATTGGTCAATTTAATAATTATATTTTTTAAACAGTAGTTCTGGGATTTAGTAGCTAGACTAGAAAAAAACTTTGTGACCGATCAGCCAAATAAGCTGCTCTCAATTAATGAATTGACGTTTTCTGCATAGGAACCAGAAACTGCATAGCAATTTTAAGTTTATTCCCCCCACTCATTTTTAAAAATTAATATGACACCGAACAGGTGTGTTGGCCACACAGCATCAACAAGTAGGATTCAGAGCTATGTCAAATATTTTTGCCACTGATGTAAATCTTGTAAAGTGTTGGAAAAATACAAACACTTTGAAAAAGTAGAGATTATGTTTTATCATGCAAATTGATTGTTCTACACATTATGGTATGTCCCAATACATTGAAGAAAAACTATAAAGATCTAACCATAACCAGATTTAAATCTGTCCAATGCAGGTCTGATATAATTAAGTAGTATTTTTATTGTTGAAAGCAGGAAGTAAAGAAAAAGTTAAGAAAAAGAAAATAAAAAGTATGCATTTCAAGTATATATTAGGAAAAAGCTTCTTATGATTAAATAATCTCTTACAGTACTCAAGGTGCTTTTTCAAGAGTTGTGTCACTTTAGCAGAAATTGTCCCAAAGGCGTTGTTCAAAAGGCAACTTGTACTTTGTTGGTAACAAAGAAAGTCCAGGTGCCTTTTGAACAACACCTTTGGGACAACGATCTGGATGAATGATAATCTCTAAAGACATTTAGCAGAAATGATATCAGAGTATGGGATAGAAAACCTGAAAAAGCTGTATCTCAAGTTCTTCTATAATTTAAACAATGACATCATTTCTCTTAGGCTGTTGGAAGTAACATAACGTAAATATCAAATATTTTCATAGAAAGCTGTCACTGGTCACTGATTTGTAATCTATTTCTGTGAAGTTCTGCTCCAAGTAAAGGTAGTCCTCATGATACCACCACAATTGAGGCCAAAATTTCTGTTGTTAAGTGAGACATTTGTTAAGTGAGTTTTGTCCCATTTTACGATCTTCCTTGCCTCAGTTAAGTGAATCACTGTAGTTGAGAAGTTAGTAACCCGGTTCTAAGTGAATCTGGCTTCCCCATTGACTCGCAAAAGGTAATCACATGATCCTGGGACACTGCAACTGTCATAAATATGAACTAGTTGCCAAGCATCTGAACTTTGATCACATGATCATGGGGCAAAGATCATAGGTGAAAAATGGTCATGTCACCTTTTTCAGTTCTGCTGTAATTTTGAATGGTCACTAAATGAACTGTTGTAAGTCGTGGTCTCTCCGTACTTCTGAGCCATTCCCTCACCCAACTCCGTGTAATAACAAGTAAGATTCAAATACATCACATTCTGTGTATCCAAGTGGCAGATACGAGCAACTTTGTGACATATAAGATAACATCATTTAACTGTTTATGTAAAGAAAAAAAAAGAACAGTTTGAGACAATTTTATTTGTGTCCAAAAATTTCCCAAAATCAAACTACTGTCTCTTCCAAATGTATCCGGTAATCCTGAATTTCCTCCTCAATTTTTGTGCAAGTATTTCCCTCCCTCCATCCCTTTGGTGGGTAATTGTAGAAAAAGTTCATTTTTGCAGGTCAACTCCAAGATGGCTCTCAATAGTCATTGCTACGTCTCTGTGTTGCTCCCTGGGGTGTCAAAACAAAGGAAAATTACCCCTTGCTACTCAATCAATTTCTTAGCTTTGAAAAAATGCCGCAGATAAAAAACTTGCCAAGTTGCCAATCCAATGAGGCAGAACATTGAGAAAATGCTGAAGTACAATACTCGAATGTTGGTAGATTCTGAAACAAAAAAGCCCATTGTTAGAAAAAATGCCAAGAAAATTTGAATCCCACAAATTCTCTATTATGTCTTCACTTAAAGTGCTGATATAAAAATTACCACTAAAAAGTTACAATAGCTGTTTGGGTTCCGTGGACAAAATACAATTAAAAGAGGTGTTTTCATTCAGCAAATACAATTCAAATTAGAAAAGTACAGCACAGGTATAGAATAATAGGTGGTATCTAATGCAACAACAGTAACTATGACAGGGATTTAGGAGTCCTAGTGGACATTCACCTAAATATGAGCCAGCAATGTGTTGCAGCTGGCAAAAAGACCACAAAGTCCTAGGCTGCACCAACAGAAGATCACATGAAGTGTTAGTACCACTTTATACGGCATTGGTAAGACTACACTTGGAATACTGCACCCAATTTGGTCCCCATGACAAAAAAAAGATGTTGAGATTTTAGAAAGAGTGCAGAGGAGAGCAATAAAGATGATTAGAGGAATGGAGGCTAAATTACACAGTGAACAGTTACAGAAACTGAGTCTAGTCTAATGAAGAGATGGACTAGGGATGGCATGATAGCAGTCTTCCACTATTTGAGGGCCTGCACAGAGAGGAGGGGGTTAACTTATTTTCCAAAGCACATGAGGGCAAGACAAGAAGCAGTGTATGGAAGCTTAAAGAAGAGAGATTTACTTAAGGATACATTTTCTGTCAGTGTGAACAATTAATCAGTGAAACAGTTTGTCTTCAGGGGTTGAGAGCTCTATCATGGAGGTATTTAAAAAGAGATTGGACAGCCATTTGTCCAGAATGGTATAGGGTCTCCTGCCTGAGCAAGGAATTGGACTAGAAGACCTTCAAAGTCCCTTCCAAATCCTGTATTCTGTATTCATATTCTTAGCTTTCATAACAATTGCATGCAAAAATGAGATATGCATTGTCAATAACCAGTCCTCAATATGTTTTGCTTATACTATTGCTTCTACTGAATTACACCTCTCTAGAAAGAAAGTTTAAGTTTTAGAAGAATGTTCTAGAATTGGTTATAAAGCATACTATAAAGCATGCACACAAGTTATTTTTGATCACATTTTAAATACTGAACTTGACTGTTCTTAGAACTAGATGTATATATCCCTGACAGCGACATGGACACTTGTTTCTTTTGACACTAAAAGTGGCCAAAAAACCAGATTATACAGGTGAAACTCAAAAAATTAGAATATCATGCAAAAGTTCATTTATTTCAGTAATGCAACTTAAAAGATGAAACTAATATGAGAAAGATTCATTACATGCAAAGCAAGATAGTTCAAGCTGTGATTTGTCATAATTGTTTGCTCATGCAAACCCCAAATCCACAATCTCAGAAAATTAGAATATTACATGCAATCAATAAAACAAGGATTGTACATAGAACAATATCAGACCTCTGAAAAGTATAAGCATGCACATGTACTCAGTACTTGGTTTGGGGCCCTTTTGCAGCAATTACTGCCTCAATGAGGCGTGGCATGGAAGCTATCAGCCTGTGGCACTGCTGAGGTGCTATAGAAGACCAGGATGCTTCGATAGCGGCCTTCAGTTCTTCTGCATGTTCGGTCTCATGTCTCTCATCTTTCTCTTGGCAATGCCCCATCTATTCTCTATGCGGTTCAGGTCAGGTGAGTTTGCTGGCCAATCAAATACAGTAATCCCACAGTCATTGAACCAGGTTTTGGTGCTTTTGGCAGTGTGGGCAGGTGCCAAGGCCTGCTGGAAAATGAAGTCAGCATCCCCATAAAGGTCGTCTGCAGAAGGAAGCATGAAGTGCTTCAAAATATCCTGGTAAACGGCTGCGTTGATCCTGGACATAATGCAGCACAGTGGACCAACACCAGCAGATGACATGACTCCCCAAATCAACACAGATTGTGGAAACTTCACACTGGACTTCAAGCATCTTGCAGTGTGTGCCTCTCCATTCTTCCTCCAGACTCTGGGACCTTGGTTTCCAAATGAGATGCAACAGTTGCTCTCATCAGAAAAGAGGACTTTGGACCACTGAGCAACAGACCAGTTCTGTGTTTCTTTAGCCCAGGTAAGATGCTTCTGATGTTGTTTGTTGTTCAGGAGCGGCTTGACAAGAGAAATATGACATTTAAAGCCCATGTCCAGGATCCGTCTGTGTGTGGTGGCTCCTGATGCACTGACTCCAGCCTCAGTCCACTCCTTGTGAAAGTCCCCAACACTTTTAAATGGCCTTTTCCTGACACTCCTCTCCAGGCTGCGGTCATCCCTGCTGCTTGTGCACCTTTTTCTTCCACACTTTTCCCTTCCACATAACCTTCTATTAATGTGCTTTGATACAGCACTTTGGGAACAGCCAACTTCTTTTGCAATGACCTTTTGAGGCATTCCCTCCTTATGGAGGGTGTCAAGGATGGTTTTCTGCACAACTATCAGGTCTGCAGTCTTTCCCATGATTGTGCTTCCTACTGAACCAGACTGAGAGACCATTTAAAGGCTCAGGAACCCTTTGCAGGTGTTATGGCTAAATTAGCTGATTAGAGTGGGACACTTTGTGCCTAGAATATTGAGCCTTTTCACAATATTCTAATTTTCTGAGATTGTGGATTTGGGGTTTTCATGAGCTGTAAGCCATAATCATCTCAATTATGACACATCATGGCTTGAACTATCTTGCTTTGCATGTAATGAGTCTATCTCATATATTAGGTTCACCTTTTAAGTTGCATTACTGAAATAAACGAACTTTTGCACAATATTCTAATTTTTTGAGTTTCACCTGTATTGGCATGGCAAAAAAGAGTATGATAACCAAACATGCAGAACAGAGGTGTCTCTGTTCAGGTAATCTCAACAGGATGGAGAGGGATTGTGAAGAGAAATTTTTTAAAAGCAGGATAGTTGCAGGCTATCATTCTTCTCTAGTAATCACCTGATAATATTGTTAAAAAACAGGCTGGTACACAAAATGTAGATTCATTCTAAGAACGTCTCACACATATTATCAAGACCTATGTGGTATTATTTGACTCAACTCTGCCAACTTTCTTTCTTTTTTTTTTTGAATAAATTTTATTGAATTCACAATTAAAAACATAACAACATTACATATACAACAGGGGGAGAAAAAGGAAAAAGAAAAAAGGAAAAAAAACGCTCGGTCTTGCCAACTTTCTTAATAAACAACCCCAGCTAGAGAACATGAGGAATCACTGGGGCCCATTGGAATAACTCATTATCAGAACATTTCTCCAAACTGGGGAAAGCTACTGACAACATTTATTTGGTTTGAACAAAGCGGACTAAAGATTTTGTTGATGGGATCTCCACCCTGCTTATTTGACTTAGCTGGCAGAGATGGTCACAGGTGTATAATGCAGGAGAAGTTTGGAATATGAGCCACATGCAATTCATTCATGTTAAGACTGTATGTTTTCCTGGTCTCTCTGACAACCATGGGTCTATGTCAGACTGTCACAGAGCTAACATGTTAAGGTAGTGTACACAGGTAGTCCTTGACTTACAAGAGTTTGTTCAGTGAGCATTCAATCTTATAACGGCACTAAAAAAAGTGACTTATGACCATTTTTCATTCAACCATTGCAGCATCTCCATGGTCACATGATCAAAATTAAAATGCTTGGCAACTGGCTCATATTTATAATGGTTGCAGAATCCTGGAGTCATGTGATCACCTTTGCGACCTGACAGGCAAAGTCAATGCAAAAGCCAGGTTCACTAAACAACCATGTTATTAACTTAACAGCCGTGGCAAGAAAGGTCATAAAATGGGGCAAAACTCACTTAACAGTCTCACTTAAAAACATAAATTTGGAGCTCAGTTGTGGTTGTAAGTTGAGAACTACCTCTATTCCAAACTATTTCAGCCTCAAGTTGTAAAAATTGTGGCTTGGAGATTTGAAATGGGAGGTATAAGTACATCATCTTTGGAAATGTTTTGTTTCAGAGCATAATTTCCTTTCTGCGGGGATTGGGACCCTAAGGTCAGCTTTAGCACATGCAGCAAAATTTCAACTTTGATGAACACAATGCTTGATCACGTTTATACTTCGTGACTAGTGGGGCGAGCTTTCTCTATGCTGATATGTACACTGAAATTCATCAGGAACCTACTATTACAGCTTTTAGAGACCTCTTTGCTTAGTTCTTCCCTAAATGACTGTCATGTGT